TTTTTTTGGTACCAGGGATTGAACCAGGGGTGCTTAATCACTGAACTACATCCCCAGCCCTTTTTTATTTTTTATTTTGAGACAGGTTCTCACTAAGTTGACTAAGGGCCTTGCTATGTTGCTGAGGCTGAACTTGTGACCCTCCTGCCTTAGCTTCCTGAACTGCTGGGATTACAGGTGTGCACCACCACACCCAACACACTCACACATTTTTAAAAAATCATTTAGCAGTTTATTTTGGAGATTATTTAATATTGTATAAAGATCTTTACTCATTTTTAATTCTTTTCCCCTGCACATTGTTTAACTATATGTACATATCATTTTTTTACAGTTCCATACCGATGGACATTGTCTTGTTTACAGTCTTTTGCTGTTTATAAACAAGATTCCATGATTAACCTTCAACATGTGTCATTTTAAGTACATATATCAATAGACTTATTTCCCAGAAGTGGACTACTAGATTGAAGGATATGTGCATTTGTTATCAATTTGATGGGAGGTGAACCCGGTTCACATTCATACCATCAATGTATGAGAACTTTGGCAAAATTTGAATTAGTGATTGCTAGTCATTTATCCCTCCTTATCATACTCTTAGTTATGCTTTAACAGAGTATGATAGAATATGCTTTAGTTTGCATTTAAGTAAGCTTAAGGTTTTAGTAGCTTAAATCAGTCATTCTTAATTAGGGACATGAAGTAGAATCACTAGTCGTGTCTTTCAAAATGCACATGCATTGGCAACACCCATATTTACTGACTCGGAATCTTGACTAGTCAAGCTGGGTTATAGCTGGCACCTACATTTTGAAAGACTGTATAGTTAATTACTATGGAGACAACCAGAAGCCCTTTCTTGTATTCGAAACTATCATAATAACAAACCAGAAAGCCTGTGTAAGTTTGAAGGGTACTATGGAGCTTGAGGGTAAAACACTCCAGTTTGTTTTATTTAATTATTTTGTGACTGTTTTCAAGTCAACAATATATATTGTTTACCTGCAATACAGTAGGCAGTCTTCAAGTATAGGTATACAGGGGTGATATAGGTCATGTAATTTAATCATAGGTATATATTTTAGTAATTTATTGCTTCATGTAAATGAAGACAATTAACAAGTTGACATGAGGGAAGATTCTTACTAAGGTATTTTAGAGCAGAAAGAGTTTATTATAGCCTATGTCAAAGCCATTAAACAGACTTTGGACTTTATTTATTTTAGGCGGTACTGGGGATTGAACTCAGTAGCACTCAACTACTGAGCCATATCCCCAGCCCTATTTTGTGTATTTTATTTAGAGACATGGTCTCACTGAGTTGCTTAGTGCCTCACCGTTGCTGAGGCTTATTTGAACTTCTATCATCCTGCCTTAGCCTCCCACGCTGCTGGGATTACAGGCCTAAGCCACCTTTATTACAGCCTATGGACTTTGGACTTTTTCTTTTTAAAAACCACATGTAATTTATAAGGAATACCATCTTTAAACTATTTTAAAACAACTAATGTTGCAGGCAGTGTGCGTGGTTTTCCTCTCTGGTGTGGAAAAATTGTTATACTGTTTCAAATACTGCAGTACTCTCTAGTCACCACCAGGTGTCAGAATGAGCTTTCATATTGTCATGATTTCCTGGCCAAAATGTGCCATTAAGCAAATTCTATTTTCTGGAGTGGTTTCTAATGATATATTCATACCATTATAAATGTTTCAGTTGTGTAAAATCCTCTAAAATAAAATATAACAGGACTTCTGATATATATGGGATTAACTCTACTTCACAAAACCATCTAAATATCTCCTTTTTCTAAACATTTCCATTATAGTCATAAAGTCCTAAAATTTTAAAATAGGAAAATCTAAAAATTAGGTAGTCTGGTAAGGCTCATATAATATTGCATTTATTATATACCCGATAGGGGTTTTTGAAAACTCTCTGGATTCTGTTTCCCAGAATGGGATATGTCGATGTCCAAGGGAAACTTTCTTGCTTGAAAATCACTAACTATCATGAGAGTTGTTTGGGGCAGGAGATGTTCCTGAGGATAGAGTGATGTGTGGAAACAGGATAGAGGCAGAAAAAAAATTATATGGCTCAGAAGCACTAATAGCAATAACTTCCATTTGGACTTAATCTCTCTGCCAGAATGGTCTAGTGGGATCAGGAGCCTTGAAGACCACAGACCGTCCTTGGAGCTGGGTAGTTATTTTGGAATTTCTGGAAGTATTTTTATTTGCAGGAAGGTTTCTTTTAAAACAACAAAAAACAAACTTCGTTGGAAGACAAAGCCTAAAGTCAAAGCTAGAAAAATGCAAAATCAGATCCAAAGGTCATTTGCTGGGCCAAAACAACAGAAAGCAAAATTAGGCTTAGGAGCTGAGTGAATATGGGAGAAATAAGA